GTTCTATGCTCTACTGTTGTTCTATAGGCTTATACTGTAGCCACATGCCATCCATGATGCCTGTTGTGTTGAGGAGTGAATTGTGCGTGATTATATAGAGATAATTGCATTATGACCCTGTTATTCATATGTGAAGCTTCTGTTTGCTAAAGATGAATTATATAATTTCTTTTTTTTTGCTGTTTTTCCTGTTCCTGACACGCTTTTTTCATGTTCGATGCGAGAAAAAAAAAAAAAAGAAGCTCCCTCCCTACCATGAAAATTGATAAAATAAGGATGCTAACCAATTGTTTTATTTTACATGGCCTAACAGATATATTTTATTTCATACTTTGTAGTACAGTACGGTATCTTATAATTTTCTTGGCAGCATTTCAAGCTGCATGCACCCTGGGCGTAGACCTATGTGACGCTAAGAAATAGGTGAATAATTACAGAGCCAAACCAAGGCAATATATATATATATATACACAGCACATGTGACACATGTGAATGAATAAATAAATAAATATATATATATACCTATATCCTATACCTATATCCTACTACAGTAGGATTTCTGCCTTTGGGTTCCTGAAAAAATAAAAGAAAATGAATATTTTGATCAAGATATTAGGGGCCTAGGCCTAGCTAAATATTAACCGATTCAATATTTGCAGTCTTCTTTAATAACAAATTAATATCTCCGGTCCTCCTAGCTAGGCTCCTGCTGTTCTCCTGCCTAGGCCTAGTATTTCTCTGGCCGTATCACAGCCGTTTATTACTTACATGCCGTCCATCCAGGCGCTCCGGGCTCCCCGGGCGTCTCCGGGCGCCCCGGGCGTTTTTTAGTAGGACCCCTCCCCCCACCCCAATCACTGCCATTCGGCATGATGATAGCCTAAAACTAGGCTAGGCTACAGGTATTTCAGACTTCTATACTGTTACATACTTTAATTGTGCGGAGGATATCTAAAAAATCAGCTGAAATTTGCACGGAAAATCGCTAGAAAATAGGTGCGCAGAATCATAATTGCCAATGGTTATATAGCCTGGTCTAGGCCTAATTATGACCCATTGCTGACAAAATTTTAGTTGTTAAGAAAAATCTGATTTTTGTATAGGCCTATGTTATAAAGATTTATAAATATATTACGAAATTGCTAGACATTCCTAGACATGAAAAATATGTAAGATGTAAGACTGAAATTTGGTTTTCTGTGTTCCACACAAAAAATAAATGCGGATGAATTTTTAATGTTTGATTTTGTAATAGGTCTGTGAAGAAATATGCCTATCCAGCACTGCTAGGCTACGCCTAGCCTAACCTCGATTTAGGTTCTGTTATCGCACATAAAAACGGCCGACATGATATTTTCCGTTGCTAGTATTGACACTTGTGAAATATAATATTTCATAGGAATTATTTCAAATCTGTTAAAAAAACTATTCTGACCGAGATTTTGACAATTAAACAAACGTATCTCAGGCCTACTCAATCGACCACAGTGTGCAAGATGCGAAGTACAAAAACTAATTTCATTAGAGAGGGCGCACTTTATTGACTATAAAGTATACATAAAGCGAGAGCATTCCAGGTGTTTTTTTATTCTTTTACGTAAAACTAAAATTTATGCCAATATTTTTCCTTTGTTTATAATAATTAGAGTAATGCATATGCATTTTTTTAAAAAATATCTTTATTAGTGAAATTTTGCTGGGATAAGGGCTTTAAGATTTGGTCAAGGCCTAATTTTTAACAAAAATTTGCACAGAAATCGGCCTTATTTTCTGAAATGCGCGGACAGATTTCTAGGCCAAATTTTTTCTCGGAGGATATATTCCCTTCCGCGCCTTACTATACAGTCTGGTCAGACTTCTGATGCTTCAGTAGTATTGAAGTAGGCCAGGAAGTTATTTTATAAGTTGTTATGATAATTTAATGAGCATCAATATCTTAAATTTTATTTGGAGACAATCTAGGGCCTATCTACATAGGCCATCTGAATAGTGAAGACACATAATTCTCTTTCAAGACGTTTTGTGGACTGTCCATTTATTTAACCAAGTTTGATTTAAGTTTATATAGGCCTAGGCCTATATATATATATATATTCTTTTAATTTATATAGATTTTAGTTCAGATGACAAATATGTGCACAGTCAATTGCTTACAATTGCTCACTATCTAGGCTTATCTTACCTTTTTCTACCGTAATGTGTCCGCTTTCAGATGAGATTAGAACTGCAGCATTCTCTCCTGTCCTCCTAGTCTAAGTTGTTCCAACCCCCAGCAGCAGGGTTACTCCTTCCTAGTACTACTAATAAGCAAACCTAACAGTAGTTAACAATGAGTAGACTGATTCTGTTGACCCTCTTGTCATCATGTATGAGTAATTTCAAAGAGTGGATTGATAATTACTATTACTAATATTACTTGTACACTGTAAAATCATTCTTTCTCAACAAAGTAGCAATTAATTATATTTATGCAAAATGAGTCTTGTTTTAAAGAAGAAAAATATGCCTAAAATATATATTTACATGTTGGGTTTTTTTTGTGGAAAGTTACTATGTGCTAGTCTTGTGAATATTAATAAAAATGTCATAACCTTTAATTCAGCATTTTCAAAAATTAAATTTTTTTTTTCTTCAACAACATTGTTATTTAGTACATTTGAATGAAAAATGAACAAGACAAAGGTTGATGGAAGGGGTAGTGATCGATTGGGTCAAAGGAGTATTTTCTTTAGCAACATACTTCTTCTAGGATTCGAACCTGGTGCTATGGAAGCCAAGTATTCTATTCCATTCACAAAGTAAGTGTAAAATGCTCCCAAATTCACATAAAAATTATCAGTTTTTATGTGGTACAATGTCGATGTTGCACTGAAGCTTTATCAGTTTTATATGCTGCACACTACAGTCCCTTAACTCAGTCATTTATGGTATTGTAATTATCATATTTTTATTTTTATTATTTTCATAATATAATCCAAATCAACAAATAATAGGCTAATCTTAATTTACCTTTATTTATTCCATTAATACATGATGATGATTGTTTGTCATGAGTAACTATTTTAATATATTGAATACAATAATGATGTTATGGTACATTGTTAAATAAAGCTATTATGATGTAATATGAATGTTCAATGTTTATTTACACAAAACAACTCAATAATATTTGGTATAACAAATGGGATCACCAGTGGAAGAGGCTACTGTATATAAACTACTGTAATTTGACTCCCTAAATTAGCTTTATGCCATTAGTCCCTTACATAATGGTTTAAAATAATACTAAGGTACATATGCTTGTTCTCATGGCAACATAAATGATGTACTGTATAGTTGTAGGTATACAGTAGTGCTGTCACTGCTACACAAATAAGATATGTTACCGGGGCTACATGAATTCTACTATGTTATGTTGTTACATTGTCTGTTGGTACATGATGATGTTTATTGCCAAGGTACAATATGATAGTCATTGTCATGGCTACCTGAATTACTAATACTGTATCTATTATGATGTTTGTTGTTATGGCCACATGATTGACTCCGTAAATTATGGTTATGATTAATTATATTATTTGTTGTCATGGCTACATTATTGTCTTATACTATGTTTGTTGTCTTGGGTACATGAGTAATGAATATTGTATAAGGTTCAGTAGTTGTTATGGGAACATGAATGACTTGTATATTGTATGATGATGTTTGTTGTCATGGGTACATGAATACTATAATTTATTTAGTGTTTGTATGGCTACAAGATTGACTAATGTAAGGACTGCTTTTCGTTGATAATAAATGATGTTGCGATTGCTTTGCAGGGACATGTTTGCCATGCCAAACAAGAAAGCATTTGAGGTTGTCATGTATTTCCTGTTGACACGACTCAACCCAGCCTTGGCTAAAGAACGATTCAGGTTTGTTTGTTTTTTTCATGTTCACCTTGCGAGACTGCAGGCGACAATGTTAGTCTATTTCGTGAATACTTACCTGGATAACCGACTAATTGCCATTGTTCCCAAAACGGAACACCCCTTCGAAAAAAAAATGGAACAGTCCGACCCAAGGCGCCATGTGCAAACCGTCTCCCTAACAAACGTCCTCATTCCCTTTTCGACGTTGTTCGAAGTCAGATACATCTAGCCTTTGAAAACTAGGACTTTTCAAGCAATTCTGTGTCTCTTTGGATTTATTTTTGCCTTGAATTTCTTTTGTGCCTTGGATTTATTTTCAACTTGTGGTTGACAAGATATCCTTTTTATTGTAGTCTCGATCAGCATGTCCGCTCGCAAGTCTTTGTGCTCGGCGTGTGGGGGCCCAAACCGAGTGTTAAGCTCGACCGGCACTCGGAGTGCCCGTTGTGTCGCTCGTGCAGCAAGGCTGAGCCTTGCGAGATTTGTGTGCGTTGGCCCCCGACTAAGTTTGCGGCGGCTCTGGAAAGGGAAATGAGGACGTTTGTTAGGGAGACGGTTCGCACATGGCGCCTTGGGTCGGACTATTTCATTTTTTTCGAAGGGGTGTTCCATTTTGGGAACAATGGCAATTAGTCGGTTATCCAGGTAAGTATCTCACTCATAGACTACCAACATCACGATTGATTTGTGTAATTTCCGGAGGTTGCAGTGTCTGTTACAGTACATTGTGTTTGTACTAGCAGACTCAAACAATGTGCATACTGTATTGGTACTGAACTTTGGTGTTTAACTGGTTTTAGGCATGCCATTGAACCTGATCTATAGTTTTGCAGTTTCATTTCTGATGTTCTATTAAATCTTATGCCTCTTTCTTCAGAAAGCAATGTGCAGATGTAGATGGACTCTCCCACTTTTAATATTTTTTCTTCTTTTAATATTTGCAAAAAGTTTATTTTAAGAAATTTATACTGAATCCTAAACTTCCAGCAGCATTGTATGTATTCTGTACTTTTCAGCTTGTAAACCTTGGTTTCCTTAAAATCGCTACACTGTCGCTACAGTGTTTTCAGTGCAATCGTTCAACAGTCCCCAGCGCAATCAGAAAGGCTCCCCGATTCTATCGACCAATCTGCATCACCAAAAGCTGCTGGTGGTAGCGTGATTGTAGTTAACCAAGTATGTAATGATATTGACACCATTATGTTTTCCAATTTTATGATTGCCATATTTTTATGTTTTAGAGTGTGCTATCCAGTATGTGACAAAAAACAAGAGCAGTTGTTTCGAAGAGCAGTTACTAATTGGCTTACTGAGATTACAAAGGTAAGTATTGACACAAAATTAGCAGAAATAGTGTTCCTAAACTGAGAACAAATACAAAATGCCCAACATGGTTAGATCCAAGTCTGCCTAAGTATGTTATGAGATTGTAGACCAGAGCTGGACTTTTAAAGGTATTTGCTTCATTAACAAGTCCAACTTAAATGTCTTTCAATACAATTTATAGGATAGTGGTGAAGCTTATCTTCCAAGGATAGCACCCTCATTATTAATGTCACCCTCTGGAGACAAGTTTTACAATCTTCTGCTTCATCTATCTGCTCATGTTCTTACTGTAGTGGCAAAATCATCACACGGTGAGTGTTTTTTTTTAATCATTATAATTTAACGTGTGTAAACCAGCCAGCAAACCAGATCATTTGACACCCAAGATTTTCTAGAACTAAATTTGTTTATGAGGAGTTACAAGTATGCAGATCATTTAGGACACTGTATAATGAAGACTACTGTATGGGGCTTGGTTAGTGGAGAGTTCAGCACTTCCTTGGGACCCTCACTGCTAATGCTATATACTTTTGTTTATGAGGATTTTAAGGGGGGAGATCTAATCTTGGTCTATAAACAATTCCATGACTTGGTGACTGGAGGGCTACAGAATTATTTAGGACACAGTTCGATTTTCTATACATCCAAGCACTTTCATGAGGCTTAGGGAATGAAAGTGATCAATTAAGACCAATTATAATCTATGATCAAATAGATTTATACGGTTTTAGAAGAACATTATTTTTGGTTGTTTGAAAAATCTTGAGATCTTTGCCCAGATTGAACCAAGGACCTTGGAATTATGAGGGAAGCATTTTGACCACCAAACTACAGCTCCACAATCAAAGTGAAATACTGATATAGATAAAGAGAAACTTAGTTTGGTACATATTTTATCCATTAACAGGGATGCAGTTATGGTGGGCAAGACCACACAGCATTGAAGTTTTCCACCCAGTCTAAAGCTAATTTCAATACCCTCCACAAACACTTATTAGCCCACTTTTCCATCCTTAAAATCTACTCTTATAATTAGAGTTTACCAATGTTATGCACCCAAATCAAAATTTCTATCATCCACCCTTAGTTTTCTTCAGCTACAACAACCCTGCATTTATATAGAGATAATACTGTATACATTAAATATGAACATACCTTTATTAGATGAAATCATTTGAGAATATTAAAAATTTCCATTCCCTAGTTTGTACATATTTATCATGATATTGTCTATCATTCCTTCTCATATTTCAGGTTTAAAGAGTCGTGATTTGTTACAGCGTCCTCGGTTGGTGCCATCGTCTATACATCTTGGTAGCGTGATGGCGAAGACGGTGGGGGCATCAGCTATTCGTCATCGTAAACGATTTCTTCAGCAGTTACAGGAGACAACGGCCATGCAAGACCAATGGACTCAGTATGCAGCGTAAGTATTCAATTGTACAATACTCATAATTATAAGTCAATCAAGAAGTCATCATTGTACTGTACCTCAAACTGTGAGCTCTCCATCATTTTTTTTCATGCATTAATCTAAGCTTCGTTTAATAATTTCCATTAGTGTGATTTTGAACGATATGCAACTTCAGTAAATTACTTACTGTTATTATTAGTATATAAAGGGACAAGACTCTAAATAAGGAGAAAAATAAACAATTAAAATAATACAAGATCAGTGTGTGACATATACAGTAACCTTTAAAAAACAACAATTGCATTAAAGGCAAGGTAAGTAATAGGTTATATTGAAAACACACACATATTGCAATTGAAACACTCAATACAATTTTAAGAAGTTTAGGGTTTAGGCTTGTTGAAAGTGAATTTAATCACTATTTAAGCTTCTTTTTTTTTGCACTTAATCTGTTCATTGAAAGGTCAAGCTTCCAATATATCAAACCTTGGAAATGTTACACATTTCTCATATGTATCATGAAGCATTGATTACTTACTCTTAGGGAGTTGACAAAAGAGCACCGTACATTAAGCAAGTCCATACGTGGATTAGAACAAAAATTACAAGATCAGTACGACAAGGCAAATCATTTGGCAAAAGCTCGAGGGAGCCCACCCCCAGTGAGACGTCACCAGTCTGGAGAATGTTTTGAAGGGGAACCAGAGATTCAAGCAATTCGAAGAACCAAGAAAGTTCACAAGGTGACATGTTTGATTCGAAGAATGATGGTTTTTGATTTTATAGTTCATTACAAAGTGATTTTTATTTAAAAATATACCGTCTGAATCTAGATTTCACTATTAACTTAGAGACCAGTGTTTGATACCTAAAAGAAAGCTGCAAATGACAATTTGCTAAACTAGTAGTTATCCTCCAGTGAGAAACATTAGGTCTGTCCCATTTTCCATTCTATTGCTGCACTTTTTTTTAGCTGAATTATAACTTACAATAGCACATCATCCTTCTGATAAACATATAAGCCATTGGTCTTATACCATATCAAAGGAAAATAAGAACCCAGCAATTAAACAAGGTTAACCAAGCTATGACCATCTTGTTTAATTTAATGTAGATTCGAGAACTGTGGAAAGCTGTTGACAACCTCCACACTACCCAGAAACCAGAACGTGATGTTTTGCAGTCAGTCGTAGAGGGTGCTGCAAATCGGTTCAAATTGGATGCTAACGATATCAATGTACATATTCCTGAACTGTTACTTAGGGACTGTGAAAAAGAACTTCAGAGGGTAGGTGTATAAATATAGTATAATATTTAAGAAAATGTATTAGGTTTGTGCTTGTGAAATATTTAAACGATACTACAGCTGTACCTTTACTATTTTTATTCTATAAATAACATCACAGTAGCTATTCAGTGCATTGGCATTCTAACCCTACCAGGTACCCACTTACATTTCAGGTTGGAGGGAGGCAGGCAATGAGAATAAAGTGCCTTGCTCAAGGACCTAAGGAAAACCCTGACTTTGAGCCTGAACCTTTGCGCCAGCTGCTCCTATGAGTACCTGAAACCATTAGTTAGATTATGAGGACATGTATGCCTTCGTGTTATATAACTTTAAAATTCCTTTTTTTCTGCAGCGGAATCTGGCTAACACTTATGAAGGCGGAAAGCTAAACCTACTGACTCTTATCCACTTGTGGAACCTCTCACTTCACTTATACCTAGAGCAGCTTAACCAAGGTGATTAGAAATGTTCATGGATTTATTTTAAATGCATGTCGACACTTGCGTGTGTTGAACAAGAGCATATTCCTGGTCCTGTTTGTCATAGTCAGTTTACTATTTAAATTACTTCATTTTATGGGTGTATATAATGCATTTTCAATTTTGAGGGCCTAATGATTGTTAGCATATGGCCTTAAAAATGGAAAATTAAGATCATTAATTTTGCTGATAACTAACTTGAAGATTAAATGTTTTAATATGTATTTCATTATAACTTGTTGACTTATTTCCTCCATTTGAATGATCAATTGAAAGTTAAACAGGTAGTTTCCTAGTTGAGCAGGTAGTTAATTTCTAAATGTTTACCACAGTATTTTAATAATCAATTTTTATTTTTCTCTTAAGTTTCTCTGCCTGATTTTGGAGAGCTTGCCCCAGCTGTAGTCACACAGGTGCACAACCAACACACACACTTGGCAAATACACAGACCCTCAGGTAAGTCAGTAAACACATAAAGAATTCATTTTTTTTAAATATATGAATTACTCCTCTAAATTTTATTTGCTAATACAGTTTTACACCAAAATAATTATTTCAAATGCATCCTTTACAATGCAGATAGATCTTAAATATACTTGTTTTAATTAGTATTATTGTTGTTTATTCACTTGCTATTGTCACTTTCTGTGGGTTGCAAAATCTGAATCGCCATTGTAGTTATAAGAACATTTGCCTCCCTGAAGCAATTCATACAACAGTAAACAATAAATAAAGTTGGTTGCTATTGTTGTTATCAATATTATTATATTTAATGTCCAATCGCAAAATTATTGTTTTAATGGAATCAATTTGACCTTTTATTGAATGAAATGATAAGGTTTTGTTATATGCAGGTCAACTCTATCCAATGAGCTACTACCGCAACTTAAGGAGTCTATAGCAATGCTGAAGGAAGAATTAGAACTTCAGGGTGACAGTACATTAAGACAAACAGACTCCTTAAGTTCCTCTAGAAATAAGGTTTGTATTTCATCATATCAATTGCCAATCCACTGCAGGGACTACAAAGTCTATTTTGAGCTTTCAACATCCACATTATATGTATCTGGGTAATGTTGTTATTATGCATTGAATTTTGTCATTATTTAGAAAATAGGGATGAGATAACACTAATGTGGATTTAAGCTAATGAAGAGTTACTATTTAATGGAAATTTATGTTGGCTTCTCCTAGTAAACCACTCACATAATGTAGAGTATTAACTCACTATTAGCTCACATTGTTTCTTGCAATAGCAATAAAACTTACTTTAAATATTTTTAATCAAATTAACTAATTGTGCTAGGGTTAACCTGCTGTCTGGATTGGCTGATAAATACAAAACAATAATTATTGACATTTTTTCAGTCTCATGATCTTACCCTTCTGCCATCAACACCACCGGTATCGTTTCAACCAGACACAAATATGAGAGGCGGTACACCACAGGAAATCACAGGCAAACCTTTGCAGAAGTCACCGGATATTAGTAAGATCAATTGTTTGGTTCAAGATAATTTAAAATTGTTATAGGTGTAACGTTTTTTAAGAAATCTGTACATGCTTTACATTATCATGGAGTCCAAGTTGGAAGAAGCCACTTCTGGAGGTCTGGTTGAATGACCTTCCTTAACACATAAAATTTTATTTCACAGCTTTTGGTATTATTCATGGCCAGCTGAATGCATGGAGACACTAATGCAGTCATACTAACATGATGAATTTACAGACTGAAACAATTCAATTTTACTGATTTACCTATCCTGTCCTTGGAAAATCATTAAAATTAATTACCAGTCATTTTAAAATATTTATACAAAGATATAATATATAAATGTTATTATTTACTATATTTATTCATTTTTTTATGGTGAGGTATTTCTTTTTCATCTCTGTATTTTCACTGTGATTGTTGTTCTTAACTTTGATGAAATAAATTAAATGAAACAAAGGGAGTGTTTTATTAATGTTACTAAACATCTCATTTTGTAGTGGACACACCAGAGGCAGCCTCCCTCCTTAGAAGTGTCATCGACAAAGCTGCACTGCGTCGGACCGCAATAGCCCAAGGAACACCGGTCAGCACTAATAGAAACCTGAAAGATATGGGGTAAGCTCCTGTTATTTATTTCAACATTGTCTTGTTCCCTTTATTATTTATCTACAGTGGCGGATACAGGATTTTTTAGGTGGGCTTGCATTAGTTGGAAATGGAAATCTATGACGCAAGGTTTTCAGGACCTTTGAACCAAGGGGATGGATTTGAGCGCTGGAATTTTACCGATTTTTCTTGGTTTCTTCTGGAGTAGCGAGAGTCCCTTGCCCCACCCAAGTTTCTGCCACCTTTATAACTGAAACTGATTTAATTGATTTCTAATGCTTCCATTTTTATGCAGATTTTAATTAATTATAGTAATATTTTTTTATTTCAAAGATCTAAACTACCAAGACCAACAACAACTGTTGGAAGTGATGTAGTAGAAGACAGGAAAAGAATCAAGTCTGCACCATCTAGAAGCCAATACACCTCAACTCCATCATGTGAACCCCTCAGGCACCCTAAAACAACCAAGAAGGCATCAAATGGCAGCTATATCCATCACCAAATAGGAAACCAAACTGTGGAGGATAAAGCTAACAAAGATCATGTCAAAGATCATGTCAAAGTTCATGTCAAGGAAAGAAGAGATGTAAAGAAAACTGACACCAAGAAGAAATTCAAGGTACATCGACTGTCATATTTTTTATAAGACTTTTTATTTATTATATGAATCACCTTTATTTTGATTTTTTTTTATGGGCCAAGTATTGCTAATAGCAAGTATCTGTCCTATTTTCTTGAATCATGAATAATATTACCAATCCTGTTTTATTTTTAGCCTAAAAGAAATCACCACCACAAACCAAGTTCTGCTGTAAAAGCCACAACCACAGCCAATGGTAGTGACACATCAGCACTCAGAGATATCAACACATTGACAGTCAGTGACATTGGCACCCCAGCAGTCAAGGACCTTGGTACCCCAGCTGTCAGTGACACTCGCACACCAGCTGTGAGTTCCATCAATAAACCTAAGTCGACTGCTAAAGTAACTACTGCAGCTCATACGCTTCTTGCTGATCAGGTACTGAATGTATACTTTTACAAGTAGTGAGGATAATTTTTGACAAAAGCACCAAATCTATTTTAATGTAACATTCATTGATTAAGGACTTGCTTTTAACTCATGTTGTGACCTTATTTTCTGCATTTTTATTCATGTTTTGTTTTGTTTTGTTTATGTTTTTTTTGTTTTAGAAGATTTGAATGATTTACTGCTAGACATGATACCATTAGCAGTTGATTGTTAAAGTATTGCATTTTCTTTAGATTGCAGATGCTGTGGCTGGATCCTTTGTGGATGGGAACACACCCTCTCCAAACTCACAGCCACTTGCCTTAGATGATCCTCTTGCTGCATTACATCAAACTGCTTTTACGACGAGAGACAAACTTAATCGAACTCCAGAGAGAAAAACTGCCAAGGAAAATGGTGAAGAGAGGGTTTCAACATCAAAGAGTTCACAAATGCCTACAAAAAAGCTGTTTGATGGTAAGTTGTTGTCATTATCATTAATAGTAATTAAAGATAAATACTGTAATTTTTTATGTGTAGGCCCACCACTTAAATATAGAATTTTGTGGGGGAGTTTTTACCAGTGGACAATATTGTACCTGCAGTAAGGATAAGATAAAGTTGGGTGATATGATATCCCAATTATTTACTCAGGTGGACTTATACCTAGATTGATCATTTTAACTCAAAAGTTATGTTTAAGCTTATAACCAATAAGCTACATTGATAACAAGAGCACTCAGTAGAGAGCATAAGATGTGTATAAGAGACAGGAGGCAGCCTCCCTCCTTAGAAGTGTCATCGACAAAGCTGCACTGCGTCGGACCGCAATAGCCCAAGGAACACCGGTCAGCACTAATAGAAACCTGAAAGATATGGGGTAAGCTCCTGTTATTTATTTCAACATTGTCTTGTTCCCTTTATTATTTATCTACAGTGGTGGATACAGGATTTTTTAGGTGGGCTTGTATTAGTTGGAAATGGAAATCTATGACGCAAGGTTTTCAGGACCTTTGAACCAAGGGGATGGATTTGAGCGCTGGAATTTTACCGATTTTTTTCTTGGCTTCTTCTGGAGTAGCGAGAGTCCCTTGCCCCACCCAAGTTTCTGCCACCTTTATAACTGAAACTGATTTAATTGATTTCTAATGCTTCCATTTTTATGCAGATTTTAATTAATTATAGTAATATTTTTTTATTTCAAAGATCTAAACTACCAAGACCAACAACAACTGTTGGAAGTGATGTAGTAGAAGACAGGAAAAGAATCAAGTCTGCACCATCTAGAAGCCAATACACCTCAACCCCATCATGTGCACCCCTCAGGCACCCTAAAACAACCAAGAAGGCATCAAATGGCAGCTATATCCATCACCAAATAGGAAACCAAACTGTGGAGGATAAAGCTAACAAAGATCATGTCAAAGATCATGTCAAGGAAAGAAGAGATGTAAAGAAAACTGACACCAAGAAGAAATTCAAGGTACATCGACTGTCATATTTTTTATAAGACTTTATTTTATTTTATTTATTATATGAATCACCTTTATTTTGATTTTTTTTTATGGGCCAAGTATTGCTAATAGCAAGTATCTGTCCTATTTTCTTGAATCATGAATAATATTACCAATCCTGTTTTATTTTTAGCCTAAAAGAAATCACCACCACAAACCAAGTTCTGCTGTAAAAGCCACAACCACAGCCAATGGTAGTGACACATCAGCACTCAGAGATATCAACACATTGGCAGTCAGTGACATTGGCACCCCAGCAGTCAAGGACCTTGGCACCCCAGCTGTCAGTGACACTCGCACACCAGCTGTGAGTTCCATCAATAAACCTAAGTCGACTGCTAAAGTAACTACTGCAGCTCATACGCTTCTTGCTGATCAGGTACTGAATGTATAATTTTACAAGTAGTGAGGATAATTTTTGACAAAAGCACCAAATCTATTTTAATGTAACATTCATTGATTAAGGACTTGCTTTTAACTCATGTTGTGACCTTATTTTCTGCATTTTTATTCATGTTTTGTTTTGTTTTGTTTATGTTTTTTTTGTTTTAGAAGATTTGAATGATTTACTGCTAGACATGATACCATTAGCAGTTGATTGTTAAAGTATTGCATTTTCTTTAGATTGCAGATGCTGTGGCTGGATCCTTTGTGGATGGGAACACACCCTCTCCAAACTCACAGCCACTTGCCTTAGATGATCCTCTTGCTGCATTACATCAAACTGCTTTTACGACGAGAGACAAACTTAATCGAACTCCAGAGAGAAAAACTGCCAAGGAAAATGGTGAAGAGAGGGTTTCAACATCAAAGAGTTCACAAATGCCTACAAAAAAGCTGTTTGATGGTAAGTTGTTGTCATTATCATTAATAGTAATTAAAGATAAATACTGTAATTTTTTATGTGTAGGCCCACCACTTAAATATAGAATTTTGTGGGGGAGTTTTTACCAGTGGACAATATTGTACCTGCAGTAAGGATAAGATAAAGTTGGGTAATATGATATCCCAATTATTTACTCAGGTGGACTTATACCTAGATTGATCATTTTAACTCAAAAGTTATGTTTAAGCTTATAACCAATAAGCTACATTGATAACAAGAGCACTCAGTAGAGAGCATATCTCCGCCCAGCGCAAATCCCTTTCTATTACATACATCTCCCAAAATATGTTCCTAATTTACTTCAACCACCACCACCACCACCCCAAATTACTTTGCTCCACTTCTCTTCAAAAACACCCAGTAACTTGCCCAAACACTTTTATTTCAAAGAGGGGCACTGTTTCCACATTTAGTATAAGTTTTTGGAGAATTTTTTTTGGAGTTGCCATTTTCAGATTTTGTATTCCGAAATGATTTCACCAAAATTCACATGTTACGTCTTGAACAAGGAATCCAAGCAATTGAAACATTTTATTTTCAACTACTGAAACTGTAAAAGAATGTGGCAAACCACTTACTTTCCAACCACCGCATACTTCAAAGAATACACTAACCGGTAAACCGGAAATGCCTAGCCCTTTTATTGTATTAGTGGTATACCTGCCGCTTCCTTACTTCTTCAGTTAAACACTTTTATGGTTGACAAAAAAAAATACATGCCAAGTATTTGTGTTTGAAATGGAAATATTATGCAAATAGTCAATGGTTCTTAGTGTCACACGTTTAAATATAAAAATGTATTAAAAATATTCTCAATCAGTTCCTAAAAACTGAAGTTAGTACATATAAAACACTGTACAGATAAACTGTAATTGCATTTATTTAAATACTCATCACACAGATATTGTTATCTGCCTACCGTATACGGTAAACCAATTCTTTAAATGGTCCTCATATCCACACCCTACTTAGGAGCATGACTAAAATGTAAACATCTTTTCATTAAAATAAGACAAACAATTCTGGAAAGTGTCATTTTGATCCATTGATTCATTTTAGAGATATAGGTCTGGGAACTAATGGCCCTCAAATGCACAGCCGAATTTGGATCATCACCAACACTTCATAATTTTTTTGTTGTAACTTGGTTAATCTTTCACGAATGTTTCATTTAAATCAGTTTCTGAAATATCTGGTCTGGGACGTTTTGTTTGAATGGTCCTCATATCCACACCCTACTCCGGATGGTCACCAAAATTAAAACATTTCTTCATCGAAAAATGACAAAATATTCTGGGTAGTGTCATTTAGAACCATTGATTATATTTAGAGATATTTATGCTGGGACCTTAGGATTTTAGTGGCCCTCAAATTCACACCCGGATCGTCACCAACTTCCATTTAAGATCTGTGCAGCTGTTTTTGAGATATTTTGAACACAAGAAAGACACATGACCTTATAAATTTAAATAACCCTCAAGTTCACACCCAAATTTGGATCGTCACCAACACTTAATCATTTCTTCCTTGTAACTTGGTTAAATTTTCACGAAACTTTCGTTCAGATAAGTTGACACGTTTTTTAAATATCTGGTGTAGAATATTTGCTCTTAAATCCCTTTAAATGGTCCTCACATCCACACCC